CGGGCACCTGGAGGAGACGGTGAAGGTCCTCGAACGAGCTGCCTCCCTGAACCGAAGTGACATGGAGGGGCTGCCGTCCATTGAAGCTACGGTGAACAAGATTCATGAGGTAAGTCCCGCGGTGACTTGAATTCATCGTTCGTCTTAAGTTTCAGTGGGTTTTTTGGCAGGTTCATTTTACGGTTACCGTAACGGTAATAATGATATTGGCAGCAATAACAGTGACGCTGCATTTAGTAATACCTTGAGCATTTCGTCATCATGTTCCATTAATATTATCGGTGCTTGAAGAAAATGTTTAAATTGGATAAGAGGTTTCAAAACACTTTTTTATTTACATACTCTTGCATAATATGGCCCTGGTTATCAAGACCAAGTACCTTTTTATTGATTGTGAAGATAATGTTTCGAAACATGAACGGACACTGGTCTCTTATCTCACTTAAAAGTTTTATATCAGTGGGTGAATGCATCTCAATTTTCCATTCGCATCCTGCAAAATGAGATGTGTAGAATATGAATGATTTATTTTACCAATAACCAGCACTTTAATAGAGGAGCCATATTTTCACGGCGAAATTGAAAAAGAAGTGGGAAAGAAACTCAAATGTTAAAATTCCAGACGAAATCCGTAGTCCCAAAAGTGATTCGTTCATTTTATACATGTCATAGAGTGAGATTGTTTGTGTAATGACATACTGAATTCATTAAGAATATGGTGTATATGCGATCTATGTTGCCTTTTGTATGTGTACATTTTTTGCATCATTGCGTTTGATCCTGACAGGGTACATAAAAGCTTTCATTAGCAAGACAAAAACATATTATCACATTAAAATTAATGCACCTGACATATTTGTTTGGCAAGACAGTGATTGGAATATCATTGGAAGGGCTAAAATCCCTAAGGATTAATTCAAATCCTCTTAACTTAAGCAAGTTAATAGCTAATTAACTCAGATACTACCTTAACTTCAAGCAGATTATGTCCATAATTTGAATATCAACAACGATTAAATATTTCGTTCATATTAAAAAGAAAAGCTGGTTGGTGATTACAGAGATTATCAGGTTCGAGGCCCACAGCGGAGAGCCCAAAACCCGACATGCAGCACCCAGACGGCCTTCAGAACGGTGCCAGCGTCGACAGAGCTGAAGAAGGGACTTCGGGGACTAGCAAGCCCTTGGGAATCGCCGACGGCTTTGGGGCTTGGTGGGCGGGACCCGTGGCCTTGGTCCGCACGGGGGTGATGAGGCGCCTCTCTCTGGTACTCGTGGTGATCTGGCTCCTGCAGGGGATCGTTTACCTGGGACTTCCCCTCAGCGCCAACGCCTTTAGGTAAGATGAGAAGTTTCACCCTTGTCGAAACAGGAGGAGGAGAGGAGGATGAAAGGGAAGAAAGGAAAAGAGATAGAGAGCTTCGGATGGCGTTGGAAACTTGCTCAAGTCGTCTGGATTTAGGTAACCTAAATGGAGGAAAGGATAAATGTTTAAGTTAGCACTTTTATGCTGAAATAGAACTTGTTTCTCCTTAGTGCACAGGCGCTGCTGCCTTTCTATACCTAGAGCTTTGGTTTCGACAAAAGCTTTGACAAACAACATCCAACTTTCATTTGAAGGTCGTGTCCTCCTTTAACAATAACTGCCATTCTCCTTTTCTTCAGTTCCCCATTCCTATACATGGCACTCATGGGTGCCGTGGAAGTGCCAGCCTACAGTGTCTCCGCGCCGATCACACAGCGCCTCGGGAGACGTCCAGTTATCTGCTTCTGCTTAATCAGCTGTGGTGTCCTGCTCCTCAGTTTACTGATCCTCGAAATTTATGGTATTAAAGAAGGTAGGTTATGGAATTTGATATCTGTTAAATAGGATCAGTTGATATCTCAGATATAAATTTTGCCCTCAAGAAGTACACGAAAAAGAAATCAGAAATGGTGACTTTAGATTAGTTACGTCAAGTCACCACAGTCTTTAATGTTCATATATCTGGCTTACAGAATGGGTCGATTTACTGCTAGTTCTACTTAGCTATCTGCTGGTGTGCACGTCTTATCAGGTGAGGCCGTTACATTAGAATGATCAAAGAATGGCGGTTATTATAAGAAAAACAAAACCTACAGGAAAATGATAGATGTTACAACAATTGCAGAAAATATGACTTCACAGTGTTTTAATAATTCTATCTAATATTAATTTTGGAACTCGTCAAAATGACCATACAGTGACTAGGTAAAATTAATGACAATCTAAATCATCAGGAAAACATAAAACGGTCTTAAATCTAACCAGGGTAAACTTCAAGCTCGTTAAATTGACCATGAATTCACCGAAACTTAAAACTCAGCAAACTAACGATAAATTCAATTTTCAGGTAAATTTCCTGTACGCTCCTGAGCTCCTGCCGACCACCATTAGGCCCTGGGGGACGGCGATGTGCACTCTGTCTGCATATGTTGGCTTCAGCATCCCTCCTTTTATCACAGATTACCTGGTAAGAAA